GAAGTGGGAGATGGGTATGTTTACCTGGTACTGTAGGAATATCTTGAGCTGTAGCAACCACTTTTCCCACTGTGCTGCCGACACACCCACTCTTTTCTCACTATGAACCTCTATGTTGCCCATAGGATAGTTCTGGGGAAGGGAGATAACCATTTCTGTGCTAACTTCTTCCAATGCGTAGGTAACGATTACCTCCCTTGTGGTAGGCCGTGTTCGTATCTAACAATATAAAAACTTTATTTTACAACATTTTTTTTTAACAAATTCTATCTATCAATCTTTCTTGTTGGCCAAGATAGTTGTGAACATGTGGGAGGAAAATAGAGACTCCAAGAGCCTAGAGAAAACGGTGACTCTAGACTGCTCAGAGAAAACGGGGACTCCGAGTGCTCAGAGAAAACGGGGACTCCGAGTGCCCAGAGAAAACGGGGACTCTGAGTGCCCAGAGAAAAGGGGGACTCCGAGTGCTCAGAAAAAACGGGGACTCCGAGTGCCCAGAGAAAAATAGACCCAGAGAAATCAGAGACTCAGAGTTCCAAGAGAAAACCAATGTGGGAAACAATATTAAAGAATTTATTTCTCAAAGGCCAATATATATTAAAATTTAAAATGATACCCCTGTTTGATTAGGACCTTCATTTATGACTTTTACTGGTGATTAAATGAGATGTTCAGTGAAAACTTGACAATGGTCAGAGAAAATGTTTCCTTTTCAGAATATTTGCATAAATTCTTGGTTATGTCGTAAAAATGTATGTTATTTCATCCATTCATAGAGATATATGAAACTACAACATTCATATTAACTGCACTTCAATATGTGTTTATATCTTAATAACAAACTGTTTTCTATTACCCAAGACAATTCATTCACGAAGCCAGGTAAACTTGTTGATGTCTTAAAGGCTTTTGACAAGATTCCCAGGAAAATGTCATCTTGATAATCTATTTTGCCTTGTTAGGTTTTAAACATTTTTTGTAGTTTTAAATGTCAATTTTCTGATAAATTGTTTGTTTTGAGGTTACTTTCCTAGTTTTATACTTAAATTCTGATAATACTCACTGTTATATAGTCAAGCTTCTGGTCACTGTTGTTGATCGAGCGGATTTCAGCTGTACAAAGCAGTTGGCTAACATTCTTACTTGTAAATCTGAAATCAGTAAACATCATATGATAAAGTATCTGGCGATACCAACAACACTACAGGTGATAACACGATAACCACATATCCCTGGCGATACCAGCAACACTACAGGTGATAACACGATAACCACATATCCCTGGCGATACCAGCAACACTACAGGTGATAACACGATAACCATATACCCCCGGTGATACTAGCAACACTACAGGTGATAACACGATAACCATATACCCCCGGTGATACTAGCAACACTACAGGTGATAACACGATAACCATATACCCTGGTGATACCAGCAACACTACAGGTGATAACAAGATAACCACATACCCCTGGTGATACCAGCAACACTACAGGTGATAACACGATAACCATATACCCCTGGTGATACCAGCAACACTACAGGTGATAACACGATAACCATATACCCTGGTGATACCAGCAACACTACAGGTGATAACAAGATAACCATATACCCTGGTGATACCAGCAACACTACAGGTGATAACAAGATAACCATATACCCCTGGCGATACCAGCAACACTACAGGTGCTAACACGATAACCATATACCCCTGGCGATACCAGCAACACTACAGGTGATAACACGATAACCATATACCCCTGTTGATACCAGCAACACTACAGGTGATAACACGATAACCACATACCCCTGGTGATACCAGCAACACTACAGGTGATGATAACAAGATAACCATATACCCCCGGTGATACCAGCAACACTACAGGTGATAACAAGATAACCACATACCCCTGGCGATACCAGCAACACTACAGGTGATAACACGATAACCACATACCCCTGATGATAACAGCACCACTACAGGTGATAACAAGATAACCACATACCCCTGGCGATACCAGCAACACGACAGGTGATAACACGATAACCACATACCCCTGGTGATACCGGCAACACTACAGGTGATAACACGATAACCATATACCCCTGGCGATACTCGCAACATTACAGGTGATAACACGATAACCACATACCCATTTGTTATACACTGGCAATGTATTAGTGAAAGGTGAACAATGTTAAACTCCATTGAGAATTACAGAAAATGTATATCTTGGATTTCTTATGGTTCCTTACAAACATGTTTTATAGAAGATAAATCATTGCTGCTTATATTGACTTACCTGTCAACGTAGGCTGAGGTTTTGCGGTCCTGGTCGAGCCACCACTGGCGAGCAATGGCGGGCATGGTCTGTAGTGTGTCCCGGTACACCCAGCTACTCACATGCTGGATCTCCATAACACTAGGCACGTCTTTATAACAAAATGTCACAGCATTGAGGTAATTTGTAACGACACAAGAGGGTGGCGTCTGTAGCGTAAATCTCTAATGGCATACAGTATTGACCCTTACTCTACAATGAATTATTCAGTTGTGACTTCAATCTGGTACACGTACTTAGATCTATGTGAATGACTTATCTGGTAGGATTGTTGATTATTATGCGACGACAACAGTTCTATGATGAGAAGGTAATATTGCTATTGTTAGGGTTTGAACCTGACTGTCTTCACTTCAGTTGCCAAGTACAGGAGACAGGACAGACAGACATGATCCAGTCCTATAGTCTCAACAGTGTTTATTATGTTTTCATGTACCTGTAACTCTCAAAGAAGGTGTGATCTCAAAAATAGTGCCAGATTGACCATCACTGCTGACCACTGGAGTTTTTTCTGGCATCAGGCAGAAGAGGTACCTCATCAGCTGTACAATTAGACCAGCGTCCTTGAAGTGACCAGCATACTCCTGTCTCAACTGTGTCAATAAACAGTAAGTATGGATTTACTATGTCATCATAAACATCAGAGAATTTTAGTATTCTGTTGTGTTGCCTTGGTTTCCTGTAATGTCATGGAGTATGGTAGCAACATTTCACAGCTACAAAATAATTGGGTTTTAACTTGAACCAACGGATCATGATCTACAATAAGGTAGACAGTCCCTCAACTTTATGTATACAGTTAGACAGTGAAAAGTTAATTTCCTGTAAAAAGCTATTTGTTCTGTCCAGGTAATGTCGAAGAAAAGTATCAGCATAATAAGAATGACTGGCAGTGAGTAAGCTACCTGCTACATAGTAAAGAGGTCTGGGTTTTGAAACCCTATGGCAGAGATGTTTTCATGAAAAAGAGGAAATCATAATCTTTACTTCTTATTCATGCATTTTACTTTTGCAACTTAAAGCCAGAAAAATGCCAATCACATAAAAGCTCTTCTCTACCTAAGGGACTCTGTTATATCAGGGACTTCTCTACCTAAGGGACTCTGTACATGTTATATCAGGGACTTCTCTACCTAAGGGACTCTGTATGTAAGGGACTTCTCTACCTTAGGGACTCTGTATATAAGGGACTTCTCTACCTAAGGGACTCTGTATATAAGGGACTCTGTATGTAAGGGACTCTGTATATCAGGGACTTCTCTACCTTAGGGACTCTGTATGTAAGGGACTTCTCTACCTTAGGGACTCTGTATATCAGGGACTTCTCTACCTAAGGGACTCTGTATATCAGGGACTTCTCTACCTTAGGGACTCTGTATATAAGGGACTCTGTATGTAAGGGACTCTGTATATCAGGGACTTCTCTACCTTAGGGACTCTGTATGTAAGGGACTTCTCTACCTTAGGGACTCTGTATATCAGGGACTTCTCTACCTAAGGGACTCTGTATATCAGGGACTTCTCTACCTTAGGGACTCTGTATATAAGGGACTCTGTATGTAAGGGACTCTGTATATCAGGGACTTCTCTACCTTAGGGACTCTGTATGTAAGGGACTTCTCTACCTTAGGGACTCTGTATATCAGGGACTTCTCTACCTAAGGGACTCTGTATATCAGGGACTTCTCTACCTTAGGGACTCTGTATATAAGGGACTCTGTATGTAAGGGACTCTGTATATCAGGGACTTCTCTACCTTAGGGACTCTGTATGTAAGGGACTTCTCTACCTTAGGGACTCTGTATATCAGGGACTTCTCTACCTAAGGGACTCTGTATATCAGGGACTTCTCTACCTTAGGGACTCTGTATATAAGGGACTCTGTATGTAAGGGACTCTGTATATCAGGGACTTCTCTACCTTAGGGACTCTGTATGTAAGGGACTTCTCTACCTTAGGGACTCTGTATATCAGGGACTTCTCTACCTAAGGGACTCTGTATATCAGGGACTTCTCTACCTTAGGGACTCTGTATATAAGGGACTCTGTATGTAAGGGACTCTGTATATCAGGGACTTCTCTACCTTAGGGACTCTGTATGTAAGGGACTTCTCTACCTTAGGGACTCTGTATATCAGGGACTTCTCTACCTAAGGGACTCTGTATATCAGGGACTTCTCTACCTTAGGGACTCTGTATATAAGGGACTCTGTATGTAAGGGACTCTGTATATCAGGGACTTCTCTACCTTAGGGACTCTGTATGTAAGGGACTTCTCTACCTTAGGGACTCTGTATATCAGGGACTTCTCTACCTAAGGGACTCTGTATATCAGGGACTTCTCTACCTTAGGGACTCTGTATATAAGGGACTCTGTATGTAAGGGACTCTGTATATCAGGGACTTCTCTACCTTAGGGACTCTGTATGTAAGGGACTTCTCTACCTTAGGGACTCTGTATATCAGGGACTTCTCTACCTAAGGGACTCTGTATATCAGGGACTTCTCTACCTTAGGGACTCTGTATATAAGGGACTCTGTATGTAAGGGACTCTGTATATCAGGGACTTCTCTACCTTAGGGACTCTGTATGTAAGGGACTTCTCTACCTTAGGGACTCTGTATATCAGGGACTTCTCTACCTAAGGGACTCTGTATATCAGGGACTTCTCTACCTTAGGGACTCTGTATATAAGGGACTCTGTATGTAAGGGACTCTGTATATCAGGGACTTCTCTACCTTAGGGACTCTGTATGTAAGGGACTTCTCTACCTTAGGGACTCTGTATATCAGGGACTTCTCTACCTAAGGGACTCTGTATATCAGGGACTTCTCTACCTTAGGGACTCTGTATATAAGGGACTCTGTATGTAAGGGACTCTGTATATCAGGGACTTCTCTACCTTAGGGACTCTGTATGTAAGGGACTTCTCTACCTTAGGGACTCTGTATATAAGAGAATTGGCTTCTGATTGAATATGTCCTGATAAAGATGTTTCATTTACTGAAAAGTGGGCAAGGTTCATAAGACAGTGTATTAGGGATTAGATTTGATGTGATGATACACAATAATACCGGGTGTTGGTGAGCACCTACCTCAGCTTTACAGCTGGTGAAGAGGTTGAGGATTAGTTTCCAGGTAAGGAGGTAGGCTAGTGTGTACTGGTACTCATCTGTGTGGGGGGCCAACTCCACACACGCATCCACCTTTTCCTCTCCCAACAATATCTCCATAGCAACATTACAGTTGGACAAAACCTTCATCAGGGAAGCTGGGGGGCTCCTAAAGGAAAACAGTATAGCTTTAGTATTACAATAAGTCACACTATGTATCAGCTGGAGGTGGGGCACTGGGACCCCTGTGGGGAAGGAAGGTATAACTTAAGTATTACAATAAGTCACACCATGTATCAGCTGGAGGTGGGGCACTGGGACCCCTGTGGGGAAGAAAGGTATAACTTAAGTATTACAATAAGTCACACCATGTATCAGCTGGAGGTGGGGCACTGGGACCCCTGTGGGGAAGGAAGGTATTACTTAAGAATTACAATAAGTCACACTATGTATCAGCTGGAGGCGGGGCACTGGGATCCCTGTGGGGAAGGAAGGTATAACTTAAGTATAACAATAAGTCACACTATGTATCAGCTGGAGGTGGGGTGCTGGGCCCCCTGTGGGGAAGGAAGGTATAACTTAAGTATTAAAATAAGTCACACTATGTATCAGCTGGAGGTGGGCCACTGGGACCCCTGTGGGGAAGGAAGGTATAACTAAAGTATTACAATAAGTCACACTATGTACCAGCTGGAGGTGGGGCACTGGGACCCCTGTGGGGAAGGAAGGTATTACTTAAGAATTACAATAAGTCACACTATGTATCAGCTGGAGGTGGTGCACTGGGACCCCTGTGGGGAAGGAAGGTATAACTAAAGTATTACAATAAGTCACACTATGTACCAGCTGGAGGTGGGGCACTGGGACCCCTGTGGGGAAGGAAGGTATAACTAAAGTATTACAATAAGTCACACTATGTACCAGCTGGAGGTGGGGCACTGGGACCCCTGTGGGGAAGGAAGGGATAACTTAAGTATTACAATAAGTCACACTATGTATCAGCTGTAGGTGGGGCGCTGGGACCCCTGTGGGGAAGGAAGGTATAACTTAAGTATAACAATAAGTCACACTATGTATCAGCTGGAGGTGGTGCACTGGGACCCCTGTGGGGAAGGAAGGTATAACTTAAGTATTAAAATAAGTCACACTATGTATCAGCTGGAGGTGGGGTGCTGGGCCCCCTGTGGGGAAGGAAGGTATAACTTAAGTATTAAAATAAGTCACACTATGTATCAGCTGGAGGTGGGGCGCTGGGACCCCTGTGGGGAAGGAAGGTATAACTTAACGATAGAACTAGACTTTTATCTTGGCAGATTGTGGAGGAGGGTCACAAGCTGACATCAGTTTTACTTTAGGTATTAGAGTGAGGCATTAGTACAGCTGGGGAGGTTCTTTTGGGATAATAAACACCCAATAAAATATAGCTAATATGCAAATTCACTTTGTACTTATTTGACATAAGTTGACCTAAATATACTTCAGTGCCTATCTTTGGGTTATACAGGTATACCGGTACTTAAAATTCATCAAGATATGTTTTTTAGAGATAAAGGTTGGATTGACTAGCTACCTTTGCATTATACACCTTTAGGGGAGAAAAAAAGATTTTTACCAATTCAAGATATCTCCCTTTCATTCCAAGGGAAGGCATAATAAATTTCAGCTCATATATACCTGTTGGTCTCCTCTCTATCATCATCTGTGACTTTGGCATCTTCGTCATATTGGGGAAGCTCTGGCATCACACTGAATGCAACAAGATTATTTATCAGTCAATGAAAACACAACAAAATGATGTATAAGCCAATGAAAACCTAACATGATAACATACCAGCCAATGCAAACATAAGGAGAAAATGTATCAGCCAATGAAAACTGAACAAGGTAATGTTTACCAGCCAATGAAATCACAGAAAGATACTGTATCAGCCAGTGAAACAAAAAGAAACAATACAGATATTTCCATTGCCAAAAAATATCATAAAATTGTTGTAAGATATATCTGTGATTAAATTTTTACTATTTATCATAAACTAAAGATTTCATAAAAATAAATAGAAGTATCTTTGGTGTTGATTGTCAGTAGATGGAGGGAGTTCTGACCTAGCTAGTAAATAGAAGTATCTTTGGTGTTGATTGTCAGTAAATGGAGGGAGTTCTGACCTAGCTAGTAAATAGAAACATCTTTGGCCTACCTTGTCAGGAGATGGAATGCTGTTATCTGGATGGCCCTGTCTTTATGCGTCAGTAAGGGACATAAATGGTTCATCAGTGTTTGTAGACTGTCAGGCAGCGGAGATGACTCCCCGGCAATTAACAGGGGAGGTAACTGATGGGTGAGGATCTGTTGTTTAGGACACAAGGCCAAACAGGATCCCATGGCCCTTAGTAACACATGGTGGGTACTTCCTGCTGTTTTCTCCTCACCTGGGTACCATATAGATATTTGTTATATAAAATTTATAATGTCTAACACATGAAACAGTATCGAACATATTATTTTTATCAAATCAATACACTGTAAGGCAAATTACAACTGATATCACCAAACATCTGAATAGCAACCAGATTTAACACATTGTACTTTGATTGAAAATCAGCATGGTAATAGTTGTACTTGGGTGTACAACTAATGCTAATTTCTAATCAAAGTTCAATTCTATGTTTGTCAATATCTGAATTCTGGACACAATCAGGAAAATTAAGTGACTTAAAGTTACTGATGATAAAAGAAAAGATAAGAAGACGAACCTATAATTCTGACAAAGAGAGGCAGCATGGTACTGTAGGCACTCTCACTGAAGAACTCATGCCACTCTGTGATAAGGTTAGGTGGGTATGTATCCTCTAAGGTCTGTAGACGCAGCGCCACCTGGTGGAGCAGATGACATACTCCTACTGTGTACCTCTGTATGACAGAGGATCCAAGTAAACCAGACTTACTCTCATCTACACTCTATAAGCAAAGAAAGGTTACTCCACATCAATCCTGGCATCAAATCATATAACCAACCTCAGTATTCTGTATACAAAGTCAAAAAACATTCTCTTTCATGGGATTCTAATCTTGTTTCTTAACAGATAATTCAGAATTTTGTATGTGCAACATTTGATCTTGTAATACATACTATCACTCCTACAGTAGAACAGCACTAAACCCCACACATTAGCCTCAAACTCAGTAGGACAGAGTGGATCCTGAACCAAACTCACAGAAACAAGGCACCAATGGTCTCTCCCTTCATCAGTAAAAACAGAAAACTAATGTCAACAGCGCAATTTTCTTGAGGCAGCTAAGGTACCTACCTGCACCAGAGAGACCAAAGTACACATGACAAAGTCCCACTGTCGGTCAGTAAGGTGTTTGCAGAAAATCTTGACTACCAGGGTAAGAAATTTGGCAACCTCTGCATTCACTAGCACCAAACCTGGGGACACCTCTCCCAAGTTACTGTAGGACAAAAGGGCATATTGAACATTCTACAGCCAACATCAACATTCATATCTAGACAATTTGAAACATCTGCTTTCTTCAATTTTGATTTCCAAAACCTTTGAATATGTAACTCTATCAACTCCCCACCTACTCATACAACTTCACCACACACCATTTCCTAAGTATTTTACACATGTACTGTAGTTACTACTTGTTTATATTTCTACATTTTGTTAAAATAACATTCAAACATGTCCAAATTAATTGCAGTTTAGATTGCATTCTTTCTACTGGTTTCCCATTTGATGCACTAACCTCATAATCACATCACATGATCACATACCACGACCTGACCACTTTCATAACCCTGAACTATTGAAGCCACACACCTGCCAAACAACAGGAAGGTGTCATCCTGCTCCTTCCAGTCCATCAGCTGTCCAAGGGTGCCATGTACCAGATCACTACAGGCAGGCACAAAGTTCTCCTCCTTTGTAACTACTGGCAACACACTCGTCAAGGCTGCCAGAGCTCCAAAGCCACCTACAGACAGAGTTACAGTGAGTGTCAGGTGAATATCTGACCAGCTGGCTTTATAACTAAATACAAACATGTAAAATATTGACAGATGACCAATTCAGATACATAAATAAACCAGAAGTTTAACATACTGACCACTGACCAGCCTGGCATCCTCCAAGGGACAGCTGATGAGTCTGGCCACCAGGATCTCACACAGTGTCAATGAGTCCTCCACTGTCAGGTGACTGCCCACACTTTGTAGCAGGTGTACACGACCTGTGTCCAGCTCAGCACACCTGAAGTGATCAATTTATCAAAACAGGTCACACAATGTCAACACATATCAACTTCATTCATAAAACATCAATACTGATCATCAAGGTCATTACTTGGCAGCAAGGGTCAATGCTGGTCTTAAAGGTCAATACTGATCACCAAGGGTCAATTCTGGTCATCAGAGTCAAACCTGGTAACAAAAGGTCATTTTTAGCCATCAGAGTCAAACCTGGTAACAAAAGGTCAATTCTGGTAATCAAGGTCAGCACTTGTCACGTAGGGTCAACACTGGTCACTTAGGGTCGCCATTGGACATCAAGGTCAACTCTGGTCATTTAGGATCAATGCTCGGCATCACAGTCAGTGGAGTACCTACCTGTCAGAGGAGTGAGTACCTACCCGTCAATGGAGTACCTACCTGTCAGTGGAGTACCTACCTGTCATTGGAGTACCTACCTGTCAATGGAGTACCTACCTGTTAGTGGAGTACCTATTTGTCATTGGAGTACCTACCAGTCAATGGAGTACCTACCCGTCAGTGGAATACATATGCATCAGTGGAGTACCTACCCATCAAGTTGGTCAGTGGAGTACCTACTTGTCAGTGGAATACCTACTTGTCAGTGGAGTACCTACCCATCAGTGGAGTACCTACCTGTTAGTGGAGTACCTACTTGTCTTTGGAGTACCTACCAGTCAGTGGAGTACCTTACTGTCAGTAGAGTACCTTACTGTCAGTGGAGTACCTTCCTGTCAGTAGAGTACCTTACTGTCAGTGGAGTACTTACCTGTCAGTAGAGTACCTTACTGTCAGTGGAGTACCTACCTGTCAGTAGAGTACCTTACTGTCAGTGGAGTACCTACCTGTCAGTAGAGTACCTTACTGTCAGTGGAGTACCTACCTGTCAGTAGAGTACCTTACTGTCAGTGGAGTACCTACCTGTCAGTAGAGTACCTTACTGTCAGTGGAGTACCTACCTGTCAGTAGAGTACCTTACTGTCAGTGGAGTACCTACCTGTCAGTAGAGTACCTTACTGTCAGTGGAGTACCTACCTGTCAGTAGAGTACCTTACTGTCAGTGGAGTACCTACCTGTCAGTAGAGTACCTTACTGTCAGTGGAGTACCTACCTGTCAGTAGAGTACCTTACTGTCAGTGGAGTACCTACCTGTCAGTAGAGTACCTTACTGTCAGTGGAGTACCTACCTGTCAGTAGAGTACCTTACTGTCAGTGGAGTACCTACCTGTCAGTAGAGTACCTTACTGTCAGTGGAGTACCTACCTGTCAGTAAAGTACCTTACTGTCAGTGGAGTACCTACCTGTCAGTGGAGTACCTTCCTGTCATTGGAGAACCTACCTGTCAGTGGAGTACCTACCTGTCAGTAGAGTACCTTCCTGTCATTGGAGTACCTACCTGTTAGTGGAGTACCTGCCTGTCAGTGGACTACCTACCTGTCAGTGGACTACCTACCTGTCAGTGGAGTACCTACCTGTCAGTGGACTACCTACCAGTCAGTGGACTACCTACCTGTCAGTGGAGTACCTTCCTGTCAGTGGACTACCAACCTGTCAAGAAGTTTGGTCAGTGGAGTACCTACCTGTCAGTGGAGTACCTACCTGTCAGTGGAGTACCTACCAGTCAGTGGACTACCTACCAGTCAGTGGAGTACCTACCTGTCAGTGGAGTACCTACCTGTCAGTGGAGTACCTTCCTGTCAGTGGAGTACCTACCTGTCAGTGGACTACCTACCTGTCAGTGGACTACCTACCTACCTGTCAGTGGACTACCTACCTGTCAGTGCAGTGGAGTACCTACCTGTCAGTGGAGTACCTACCTGTCAGTGGACTACCTACCAGTCAGTGGAGTACCTTCCTGTCAGTGGACTACCTACCTGTCAGTGGACTACCTACCTGTCAGTGGACTACCTACCTGTCAAGAAGTTTGGTCAGTGGACTACCTACCTGTCAAGAAGATTGCCTAAGTCCAGTGTAAATTGGGTGTCTTCTGACAGCAGGCCTAACAGGTGTTGAAGGGTCAAACCCCACAACCAGGGTCCGTCCTCACACCTACAAACCAAGAAATATTACAACACTAAAACATACTCCAGGAAAACCATCATCAGATTAAAGTGAATTACCTTTAGGTAGTACATATTAAGGTACAAAATAAAGGAGGATGTTCATTTTGTCAAAAGAGTTAAGAAAGTTCTGAAGGGGGAGGTCAATAATTATTGCCGTTAACATGGTGTTCTTAAACAGGACACCTTACAAATAATCACTACAATGCTAAAAGTCACAATACAGTAATGGATTATTCCTGCACTTCATTTTTCACAATAAAATATCTGATCGAGAAGTGGTTGAGTCTGATTCTGCAGTTGTCAATATTTACCTCGTCATGGCTTTGTTGACCAGTATGCTCCTGTCCGAGGGTACACATTGCTTGACTAGTCTAGATAGTGTCGTCTCGAGTCTGTGTACAGCTGCAGTTAATATCTCTAAATCTGGGCCCTAGAACGACACACAATACAACTTGCATGAAAGGAAACACATAAGCAGCAACTCATGTAGGTTTCAAATGTTATAGACAGTACAAGATTTTGAGTGTGTGCAGGGAGGGAGTGGATGTGTACATCTCTGTATATGGCTCCTTTACAGTTGTACCCCTGGTGGCTCTAAGGTTTTAAATAGAATGCTTATGATGAGATATTTGAAGTTAATGGTGTTTATCCCTACTCCATACTTGTGATTGTAGAGTAAGTACCTTGTGACCGACGTCCATCAACACCCTGAGGACCTGCTCTCCATGTAGACTGTCCAGTAGCACCTCTAGCTCCATGTACTCAGACCCTGTCTCCAGTGTCTCATTCTCGGCTCTTGTATCTGTGATGTTATGGCGAGTGTGTGCCAGGAGGCAGGTATTGTGAAGGGTGTGGTACAGTGAGGTAACGCCCTCCGTACCCTCCCCAAGGGACATGTCACAGAAAGCATAATCTCCACACACAAGTACATGCTCCATAACCTGAGAATGGACCAGAAAATACAACAAAGTTAAACTGCAATATCAAAATTTAATTACTGAGAAAGTGCCAGGTCCAAAGAACATAGTTTTAATGATTCTAGCAAGAACATCTGACATGACTTTCAGTCAGTTATCTAAAATTTAGATTTTCTCTGAGGGGAATTCCTATTCAATAAAGATGTTGAACTGACAGCGACATATACATCCCACTGGCTCAGACAAAGTAAGATACCTTACCTGCTGTGTCACATCTGGTTGTACACGTGTGTACAGCTCCCTGACCACACTACTCAGTACAGGGTTATCTCCCTTCTCACTCTCTGGAATGTTGCCCTGGACAACTGACAGCAGAGACTGGACTTTATCAGCCAAAGTATCAAACCTGAAATATCACAACAACACATTATCCATAATCTGGAATTGCTTCTTTAAACAAGCCATTCAGATTAATATGTCTCGCCTATGCCCAGCTTTGACCATCAATGCACACATCAGAGAAACCAACTTAAACGCAAAAACTCGTTGATGGGGATGCTGACAAAGTCAATGGACCATGAAGGGTGGGCCACAATCAGCATTTGAAGCATGGGTTGCGATGTACTATCTATGATGCATCTATGGTCCAAGTTTGGTTGGTCTAGCACTTATACTTTCAGTGAAACTAACTTAAATGCAAAAACTTAATGATTGGCGCCGCCGGCGGAAGAGTATGTTTTACAGCACCAACTCTGAGTTTCCATAGTTCACAACAACTGACAGACATCTAGATTACGACTACAGGCGGTTTACTCACTGTGCTAGGGAAGCTACTTTGGTCAGTCTTGTTTTCACCAATGCCACTGCTTGACTGAGTACACCGTTGTCGTGGAGCAGTCCCCCAGTCTGTCTGATGATAGTAGCTAGACCCTCAGTCCACACAATCTCACAGTCCTGTAGAGTCTCTTCTACAACAAATGAAAAACCATGGCTGAATTTACAGGTAACACTACAAGGCAATACACTGACAAATCTTTACTACAGATACTGATTCCCTCATAGCAGCCAAACTTTTCAGGTCACACTACAAGGCTCTACTACAGATACTGATCCCCTCATAGCAGCCTAACTTTACAGGAAACACTACAAGGCAATACACTGATAAGGCTCTTCTACAGATACTGATCCCCTCATAGCAGCCTAACTTTACAGGAAACACTACAAGGCAATACACTGACAGGGCTCTTCTACAGATACTGATCCCCTCATAGCAGCCTAACTTTACAGGAAACACTACAAGGCAATACACTGACAAGGCTCTACAACAGATACTGATCCCATCATAGCAGCCTAAATTTACAGGTAACACTACAGGGCAATACAATGACAAAGCTTTACTACAGATACTGATTGCCTCATAGCAGCCAAACTTTACAGGAAACACTACAAGGCAATACACTGACAAGGCTCTTCTACAGATACTGATCCCCTTATAGCAGCCAAACTTTACAGGTAACACTACAAAGCAATACACTGACAAGGCTCTACTACAGATACTGATCCCCTCATAGCAGCCCAACTTTACAGGTATCACTACAAGGCTCTACTACAGATACTGATCCCCTCATAGCAGCCAAACTTTACAGGTAACACTACAAGGTAATACACTGAAAAGGCTCGACTACAGATACTGATCCCCTCATAGCAGCCTAACTTTACAGGGAACACTACAAGACTCTACCACAGATACTGATCCCATTATAGCAGCCAAACTTTACAGGTAACACTACAAAGCAATACACTGACAGGGCTCTACTACAGATACTGATCCCCTCATAGCAGCCTAACTTTACAGGTAACACTACAAGACTCTACTACAGATACTGATCCCATTATAGCAGCCAAACTTTACAGGTAACACTACAAGGTAATACACTGACAAGGCTCTACTACAGATACTAATCCCATCATAGCAGCCAAACTTTACAGGAAACACTACAAGGTAATACACTGACAAGGCTCTTCTACAGATACTGATCCCCTCATAGCAGCCAAACTTTACAGGTAACACTACAAGGCTCTACTACTGATACTGATCCCCTCATAGCAGCCTAACTTTACAGGGCACACTACAAGGCTCTCCTACTGATACTGATCCCATCATAGCAGCCTAACTTTACAGATAACACTACAAGGCATTACACTGACAAGGCTCTTCTACAGATATTGATCCCATCATAGCAGCCTAACTTTACAGGTAACACTACAAGGCAATACACTGACAAGGCTTTACTACAGATACTGATCCCCTCATAGCAGCCTAACTCTACAGGTAACACTACAAGGCTCTACTACTGATACTGATCCCATCATAGCAGCCAAACTTTACAGGTAACACTACAATGCAATACACTGACAAGGCTCTTCTACAGATACTGATACCAACATAGCAGCCTAACTTTACAGGTAACACTACAAGGCATCACACTGACAAGGCTCTTCTACAGATACTGATCCCCTCATAGCAGCCAAACTTTGCAGGTAACACTACAAGGCTCTACTACAGATACTAATCCCATCATAGCAGCCAAACTTTACAAGAAACACTACAAGGTAATACACTGACAAGGCTCTTCTACAGATACTGATACCAACATAGCAGCCTAACTTTACAGGTAACACTACAAGGCATCACACTGACAAGGCTCTTCTACAGATACTGATCCCATCATAGCAGCCTAACTTTGCAGGTAACACTACAAGGCAATACACTGACAAATCTTTACTACAGATACTGATTCCCTCATAGCAGCCAAACTTTACAGGTAACACTACAAAGCAATACACTGACAAGGCTCTACTACAGATACTGATCCCCTTATAGCAGCCAAACTTTACAGGTAACACTACAAGGTAATCCACTGACAAGGCTCTACTACAGATACTAATCCCATCATAGGAGCCAAACTTTACAGGAAACACTACAAGGAAATACACTGACAAGGCTCTTCTACAGATACTGATACCAACATAGCAGCCTAACTTTACAGGTAACACTACAAGACTCTACTACAGATACTGATCCCATTATAGCAGCCAAACTTTACAGGTAACACTACAAGGTAATCCACTGACAAGGCTCTACTACAGATACTAATCCCATCATAGCAGCCAAACTTTACAAGAAACACTACAAGGTAATACACTGACAAGGCTCTTCTACAGCTACTGATCCCCTCATAGCAGCCAAACTTTACAGGTAACACTACAAGGTAATACACTGAAAAGGCTCTACTACAGATACTGATCCCCTCATAGCAGCCTAACTCTACAGGTAACACTACAAGGCTCTACTACTGATACTGATCCCATCATAGCAGCCTAACTTTACAGGTGACACTACAAGGCATTACACTGACAAGGCTCTTCTACAGATAATGATCCCATCATAGCAGCCTAACTTTACAGGTAACACTACAAGGCATTACACTGACAAGGCTCTTCTACAGATACTGATCCCATCATAGCAGCCTAACTTTACAGGTAACACTACAAGGCAATACACTGACAAATCTTTACTACAGATACTGATCCCCTCATAGCAGCCAAACTTTACAGGTAACACTACAAGGCTCTACTACAGATACTGATCCCATCATAGCAGCCTAAATTTACAGGTAACATTACAAGGCAATACACTGCAAATCTTTACTACAGATACTGATTCCCTCATAGCAGCCTAACTTTACAGGTAACACTACAAGGCTCTACTACAGATACTGATCCCAT